GTGTCAGCCTCTTGATACAGCTTAACTTCTTTTTTACTGTCTTCAAATTACTTCTAGTTTCATTTCAAGTGTTTCAATTAGGAGCAAGCCAGTTAATTTATTTCTAGTAGTAGCAACCAGTCCTCTTTTCTATCCAGCTAGATTTAATGTGTCAGCCTCTTGATACAGCTTAACTTCTTTTTTACTGTCTTCAAATTACTTCTAGTTTCATTTCAAGTGTTTCAATTAGGAGCAAGCCAGTTAATTTATTTCTAGTAGTAGCAACCAGTCCTCTTTTCTCTCCAGCTAGCAATTGCCAGCCAATTTAAAAAAAGAAGGCTTCTAGCTGGATAGAAAAGAGGACTGGTTGCTACTACTAGAAATAAATTAACTGGCTTGCTCCTAATTGAAACACTTAAAATAGAACTAGAAGTAAGTCAAAAGTTAAACATTAATAATTTCAAAAAATTTAAAAATTATAACAAAACAATATTTCATTCAGCTTCATGTTTCTTTTCATTCTAAATAACCATGTTTGTTCCAGGATAATTTGAAGAAAGTAAAAAAGAAATTAGGCTGTAATAATTTGAAAATAGAATCAGAAGATAATATGAAGAAAGTAAAAAAGGAAGTTAAGCTGCATCAAGAGTCTTTCTATATAATAGGATTAGTCCTGAGCAGGGCTATTTTTGGGCAGGAACGCACAGGAACGGAGTTCCGGCTGGCTCCCAAGTTGGCCACGCCCAGCAGGAACTCATTAGCATAATAGGCCACACCCAACAGCAGGAACTCATTAGGATTGGCTACATTAGGGGTGTGTGGCCTAACATGCAAAGGAGTTCCTCCTAAAAAAAAAGGCCCTGGGTTTTGACAACAGACAAGGTAAACAGAATAACAAGCAAAAGGTGGGTGTGGCTGGATAACCACATGTCTGGTAATATGTGGGTGCGGCCTAATGTGCTAATGAGCTGTGCTGTCAGGGGTGTGGCCCAATATGCTAATGAGTTCCTGCTGTTGGATGTGGCCTATTATGCTAATGAGTTCCTGCTGGGCTTTTTCTACAAAAAGAGCCCTGCTCCTGAGGAAGATTGGTGAAATGAGTTTATAACCGGGTACTCATTGAGGATTATGGACTTTTCCTTGAGAGTGTTAGAATTTTCTTAGTAATAATATAAAAGTTTCAATTGTAATTTAATTTGATGTTCATAAGATTTATTGAATGTCATTGTCATTTTTATCACAGTGTTTGTTTGTTTGATATATTTCCTTGTAACTGTTTGTTTGATATATTTCCTTTGGTTTACTTACCACCTGGAGGTTGGCAACTCTACCTTGGCATGAGTATTGACATTCCCCCCCAATGATCAGTCTAAAGGTAAAGATAAAGGTGTCCCTTGCTCGAAAACTAGTTTAATCCGACTCTAGGGGGTGGTGGTCATCTCCATTTCCAAGCCAAAGAGTCAGCGCTGTCCGAAGATGTGTCCATGGTCATATAGCCAGCATGACTAAACGCTGAGGCGCACGGAACACTGTTACCTTCCCACCGAAGCGGTACCTATTTGTTGTTGTTGTTCAGTCACACAGTCGAGTCTGACTCCTCGCGACCACATGGACCACATCATGCCAGGCCCTCCCTTCATCTGTCATCCTCTGGAGTTTTCTCAACTTTATGTTTGTTGCATTGGTAGCACTGTCTAACCATCTCATCCTTTGCCATCCCCTTCTTCTGTTACCTTCAATCTTTTCCAGCATCAGGGTCTTCTCCAGTGAGTGCTCCCTTCTCATTTGGGGCCAAAATAGATGAGGTTCAGCTTCAGTATCTGGCCTTCTAGGGAACAGTCAGGGTTGATTTCTTTTAGGATTGACTGATTTGATCTCCTTGCAGTCCAAAAGGGACTCTCAAGAGTCTTCCTCCAGCACCATAGTTCAAAAGAATCTATTCTTCGGCGCTCAGCCTTCCTTATGGTCCAACTCTTGCAGCCATACATTACTACTGGGCATACCATCTATTTGACTATGGGGACTTTTGTTGGCAGTGTAATGTCTCTACTTTTTATTATGCTGTCTAGGTTTGCCATAGCTTTCCTCCCAAGGAGCAGGTGTCTTTTAATTTCATGGCTGCAGTCATCGTCTGCAGTGAACTTGGATCCCAGGAACGTGAATTCTGTCACTGCTTCCATGACTTCCCCTTCTATTTGCCAAGGAGTGATGGGGCCAGATGCCATGATCTTAGGGTTTTTTTATGTTGAGCTTCAAGTCAACTTTTACGCTCTCCTCTTTCAACATTCGCAAGAGGCTCTTTAGGTCCTCTTCACTTTCTGCCATTAGAGAGGTATCTAGGAGCCAGTTTGGTGTAGTGGTTAAGTGCGCGGATGCTAATCTGGGAGAACCGGGTTTGATTCCTCACTCCTACACTTGCACCTGCTGGATGACCTTGGGCAAGCCATAGTTCTGATAAGAGCTGTCCTTGAAAAAGAGCAGTTTCTGTCAGAGCTCTCTCAGCCCCACCTACCTCACAGGGTATCTGTTGTGGGGAGGGGAGGGGAGGGGAAGGGGAAGGCGTTTGTAAGCCGCTCTGAGACTCCTTTGGGTAATGAAGGGTGGGGTATAAATCCAATCTCTTCCTCTTCTTCTATCGTCTGCATATCTGAGGTTGTTGATTTCCCCCCCGGCAATCTTAATTCCAGCTTGTGATTCATCCAGGCTGGCATTTCGCATGATGTACTCTGCATATAAATTAAATAAGCAGGGTGACAATATACATCCTTGTCGTACTCCTTTTCCTATGCTAAACCAATCAGTTGTTCCATGTCCGATTCTAACTGTCGCTTCTTAACCCTTATACAGATTTCTCAGGAGACATGTGAGGTGGTCTGGTACTCCCATCTCTTTAAGGACCTCCCATAGTTTGTTGTGATCCACACAATCAAAGGCTTTAGCGTAGTCAATGAAGCAGAAGTAGATGTTTTTCTGGTGCTCCCTTGCTTTCTCCAGAATGCAGCCAATGTTGGCAATTTGATCTCTCATTCCTTTACCTCTTCGAAACCTGACTTGCACTTATGGCAGTTCTCTATCCACATACTGGTGAAGTCTAGCTTGTAGGATCTTGAGCATGACCTTGCTAGCATGTGACATTTATTTATTATTATTTATTTATTGCTTTCAATTTATATCCCGCCTTGCCAGGCGTAATGAGTGCAATTGTGTGATAGCTTGAACATTCCTTGGCATTGCCCTTCTTTGGGATTGGAATACAAACTGACCTTTTCCAGTCCTGTGGCCACTGTTGCTTTTTCCAAATTTGCTGGCATATGCAGTACTTTAACAGTGCATATGGAGTGCAGCACTTTAACAGCATCATCTTTTTGGACTTTGAATAGCTCAGCTGGGATACTGTCATCTTCATTAGATTAGCTGTTAGTAATGCTTTCTAATGGCCATTTGACTTTGCACTCCAGGATGTCTGGCTCAAGGTCAGCGATCACACTGTTGTGATTGTCAAGGATATTTAGATCTTTCTTGTATAGTTCTTCTGTGTATTCTTACTATCTCTTCCTAATCTCTTCTGCTTCTGTTAGGTCTCTACCGTTTTTGTCCTTTATCATGGCCAGCTTTACATGGAACGTTTCCTTGATTTCTCCAGTTTTCTTGAAGAAATCTCTAGTCCTTCCCATTCTGTTGTTTTCCTTTATTACATACATGATTATTCTTCCTGAAAATCACTCGCTGTTAAAGATACAGCTGCAAAGACAGAGTCACAAAATGGAAATGGGGTGATGGTGTAGAACCTGATCAACTTTAAGGCAAGACAGGATAAAAACATACAGATCAATGAAAGTTAGTCAGAGCCGTCAGCAGGCTGCTCAGAGCCCAAATCAGCTTTGCTGTGCCTCATCACAGAAATAACCAGAGAAGTCCTACCACCTACAAAGCCACAATGTGTTTGTGAACTGCCATCAAATCTCAGCTGATTTATGGTGATTCTCAGAGGGTTTTCAAGGTAAGAGACATTCAGAGGTGGTTTGCCATTGCCTGCCTCTGCACTTTCTTGGTGGTCTCCCATCCAAGTTCTAACCAGGGCTAACCCTGCTTAGCTTCTGAGATTTGAAGAGATCAAGCTAGCCTGGGCTATCCAGATCAGGGCACAAAACCCCAGGATACTTCCCATAACATGGTTTTATAGAACAGAATTCTAATGTCCCTTTTCCAGGGAGAAATGTAAATGTGTAAACCACTTCTCTAGTCCTCAGCACTGCGGAACAGAGAGGGGAGGTAACGTGCCAGGAACTGTCAGTGGTAAGCTCAGCTCTGCATTCTCTAGACAGGCTAAGGACTTGTCCGACACTCACCGTGAATCCCGATCATGTGTTCTAAAATTAACACCCTCTCAGCTAAAATCTTCAGTGCTTCTCGAAGCTGCTGGACTCCTTCACCCTACAACAGAGAGAGAGAGAAGGAGGGAGGGGACCAAAACGTTTAAGCGTGCTCTCAAATTATGTCTCTCATTTACAAAAATTAATCCTGCTATTAAGGAGTCACAATTTGTTTTTATATGTGTATATTTAAGTATCTGAACCCCGCTTTTCTCTCCGTCAGGGATCCAAAGCATAAAAACACAAAAATACAATTTGACAAAATAAGACTCCAACATAATTTCTGTGTCTTTTTTCCCCTTTTGACGTAGAAAGTAGCCCAGGAGGAGGAACTTGCTGTTGAAGAAATGGCTGGATGAGTTAAGCCTTCCTTCCTAATCTCATAGTCCCAGTCCAGATACCCCTTACTTGTCTGAGCCACAGTTACCCCCCTCTGGCGTTCCAGTCCAGAACAATGCCATGTGAGCCTGGCCTTCAAAAAGAGTTTGGATATATTTCATGGAGGGTAGGTTCTGTCCACGGCAATTAGCTGTGATAGCTAAACAGAGCCTCCATATATAGCAGCAGAATACCTTGGATTACCAGATGCTGAGGAGAGCCTTGTGAATTTCCCAGAGGCATTCAGCTAGCAACGTTTTGGAAACAGAATGTTAAATCTTTGGTCTGATCCAGCAATAGGGTTGCCAGGGATGTGGGAGGACTTACTGGGAGTGAGAGGGAGGCCCAGCCGGCATTGCAGTGACGTGTTTACATCACTTCTGACATGACCCAGAAATGATGTCATCATGTAGTGACATTGGGGCAACGCTCTGGTATTTAGGCAAAACTCTATGGTAAATTTGGCTTCTACCTCAGAGTTTTTGCCCAAATGCCAGAGCACCGCCCTGATGTCGCCAACATGATTACATCACTTCCTGGTCACATCAGAAGTGACACAGACATGTCACTGCAATGTCAACTGGGCCACGCTCTTCTTCCGGGTAAGTCCTGCCGGTCAGCTGATTGGCAGTGGGGAGGTTAGGCCTGGCGGCAGGGGACAGGTGGCAACCCTATCCAGCAGTGTAATTCTCATGTTGTTATGCTGGGGGTGTGTGTGTGTGTGAAAACATAATCAACATTACTGAGTTGACAGAATCCTTACATCAGCACCTTTGTCTCCTTCTTCACCTTTCTTGCCAGGATCACCCTATAAACAAAATAAACAGAATGTAAAATTTATTACTCTATTTAGAAGGAGAAGAAGAGAAGAGATTGGATTTATACCCTGCCCTTCACTATCCAGCGGAGTCTCAGAGCGGCTTACAAACTCCTTTCCCTTCCCCTCCCCACAACAAGACACTCTGTGAGGTAGGTGGGGCTGAGAGAGCTCTGACAGGAACTGCTCTTTTTCCAGAACAACTGTGCCAGAACTATGGCTTGCCCAAGGTCATCCAGCCAGGTGTAAGCAGAGGAGTGGGGAATCAAACCCGGTTCTCCCAGATCAGAGTCTGTGCACTTAACTACTATACCAAACTGGTTTCAGTTTGCCCAAAAAGCTTTCCTCGGGGGGGGGGATGTCCCCCCACCCTCGGAAAGGCCTTCAGTAGCTTATTTGGGGAGCCATCCACCAACAACTTACTCCAAAGTAATTGTATTGACTAACATACGGAGTAAAGGACTGCCACTTCGGCATGGCGGCTTCTGCCAGTTTAATGACATTCGCCTCCCCGTCCCTAAGGTAATGTTGAGTAAAGTCCCATATTAACAATTGATGCTGTCTTTCTGTCAACATTCAATAACATTTTCTTGGAGAAGGATCCCCATTTTAATCGTGCCAGAGGCCAAGCCTCTGTCGCACTGCCCACTCGTGAAGCAGCCACAGAAAATTTTTCTCTTTGCAGAGGCCTATCTTGGTTGTGTCTTAATAAAGGGAGAGAAATAGGGAGCCATTCAAAGTTCTAGAAGCTTCTAGTGAAGCAACCCATGGTGCAGGGTAGACTGTGTCTCCTGTACAATAACTGGCCATTGCAGCCTTTAAAAATCGGAGGGAAAGGAAACAAGCTCTGTCACATCCGGAAGAAAGAAAGAAAGAAAGAAAGGAAGGAAGGAAGGAAGGAAGGAAGGAAGGAAGGAAGGAAGGAAGGAAGG